CGGCCAGGAGCGCGGGCCCACTTCGCAGCCTCCGACTCCGCCGCAGCCGCAGCCGCCACGGCAGGTTGCAGGAATCCGGCAGCGCACAGAATTGAGGGCGGCGGACCGGGTCGGCGGCGGCGGAGGCGGTGGAGCCTCACAGAAGTAGCGCAGCGGCGGCGCGCCAAAGACGCCGAAGCAACGAACGAACGAACGATCGAACGAACGGCTTAACAGACGAAGGAACAGGAGGTGCGCGTCGCCGGCGCCACCCGAGCGCGCTTCCCGGCGGCCACGCCCACCCTCACCACCCACCGTCCGCGCCAAGGTTCCGGTTTAGGGCGACTTCCTCTCCGGTTGTTAAGGAGATACTTCAGGCTTAATCGTTACTATTGCAATCTTTTATTGCATTGTTTACCAAATACTGACAAATTCAGCTGATGACAATCTGTTTTTGCATTCTGATGGTTGTTCAACACTGCCTGCCGCTTTGTTAAAATCCGAATCTCCATTTTAAATCTCTCAGTTCAATTTCTAAAACAAAAAACTTAAAATCATTTTGAGGAATTATAATTCCCTCAAAAGTATTACTGAGGGAAAAAACATCGCTGTCGACCCTCGCTTGGGTGAAGTTTCTTACGCTTCCAGTAGACTTAACTTTTAGCGAAGAATCATAAATTTCATTTAATAACTATCCTCCTTCCACCTCTACCCCTCCGTCATCGAAATTTTGGGGTTAACATGAAAAGGTGGTCATTCTATTCCTGTTCCGGCGGCCCGGGGCTAACACTCCGGTAATCTTCCAGGCAAGAGGAACCGGAATGCCACGAACACAGGTGAAGTTAAATGTTTAGCAAGAGTAACTAACTGCTATTGTTGGGATTTTAGATTAAGGAAACTTTAATTCAAATAAATTTATTTCATTCTATTGATGGACGAAAAGTAAGGCCGTACTCCGGCCAAGTGGAAAATGTCACCGGATTTTCGAACAAACAACACGTAAAAATTATACTTGAAATTCGTAAAAATTAAGCAGACTCTCGTTCTATTCAATTCATTTATATATGATGATAACAAAACACGGGAACTCTTTACCAGCTAATTTAATTAAAAATCATTCTCTCCCATCAACACTCTTATTCTTTACTTATTTAAATGCTCAACACAGATCTCTGGCCTAGAGGCATGTCCACAATGGTTTGGAGGAAACTGGAGGTACATTTTTCGCTAAAGTAATGTTGCAGTATAATGAAACAGATACAACTTCTACCGGACTAGATTTTGAAGAATTTCACGCAATGTGAAATACGTTAATTTGAAAATTATTTATTTATTAGTGGACGTCAATTTTTATTTCATCCTACTGTTGTGTATTACCAGGCTTACATTACAGATATTAACATATTTCAAATCAATCATTTATTTAATGATTACATAATTAACCGAGATCTGGTAAATTGCGAGTTCGCTCTGATTCTCCCGTGTCCTTCCTGAAAATCTACCCGCTGGTGTTCGTTTCATATGGTTTGGATCGGTCATAAATTCACAAATCATTTGAGTTCTGTCTCCACTCAAGCTGAAAATTCCGGTTTCTGGTTAGCCCAGACTGAGAATCAAGGAGATAAATTCGTGCGAGTTCCTCTTCATTTGCATTCTATTCATCAGTAATCAAATCCCCCAACTTGAGATGACAGGTCCAGCGGCAAATGTCATTAATTCCGGTACTACGTATGCGCTTAATTCCGGTTCCTACAGTGATTCAATCGTGTTGAGTAATAAGTAGTAATAATATTTAATGAACTGAAGAGTGTCTCTGCTGAGATGATCTACTTGAGTCCCTATTGCTTTTAGTAGTGAAAATTAACTGTCACGCTTTAGAGAAAAATTCCCAGAATACTGATTCGTTCATTTTATTTCTCTTGTATTGCTTGTCTAAGAGGTGATCCGCAATCATCTTATTCCTGGCCGTGCTGACATGAATCCTTCGAGATAAAGTTCTCTATTCTCATAAAGAGCGCCATCAGAGACAGTATTCAATAGCATTTCGACTTTTGTTTTCAACACTAAGAAGTCTATATATAATTTTTATATAGTGAACATTAGATAAGGAATAAGTAATTTTTCATGATTGGGAGGGGGGGTGCTGAACACGAATAACAAATAAACAACCAAATTTTAGGTATCAAGATATCAATCATATAAAGATATCAATCTATGTTTTACCAAAAATACTATAATTACTATACATTTACGAACTTACAGTATTACAATTTTTTATAACTTTTAATTGCATTCTGTAAATTAAATTTCCTTTCCTATAAATATTCATTAACTCTTTAACATTCTTCAGTGATGTACGATTCACTGATGGAAGATGAGAGTGCAAAAGAATAAAATACGGAATAATAACGGATTCTGATAACCTGATATATTTTTATCTCTCATGAACAATTGACAGCTTGTTATCTATCAACTCAGATGACAATTCACCAGCGAAAACTTACGACATTGATAATGAGTGTCAGATCTTTTCAGATAGTACATCTTTTATAAGTGCTTAAAGAATGTTTTGGATTCACCTATACTGTTTCTCAATGTAGTATCACTATATTGAGGAATTGTTCACATGAGATTAAGATGAGGTATCTACTAGGATTTATTATTATTATTATTATTATTATTATTATTATTATTATTATTAAAATATGTTTCAGCTTTCAAAGCATCCAGATTTTCTCACATTATCCACACCTCCATCTTCTCAAATTACAGTTCACGTTTCATATTTCTATATTGGTATTTATTATTAATTCTTGTTTCTATTATCGCTATACATTACTACACATCCATTTTAATTTTTGAACGCACTACACAATTCGAAATCCGAATAACAGAAAATGAATAATCTTGTATGTTTGTTGATGCTTTTATATAACGAAAGTGTACAAAACTCTACATCTCTGTAAAGGGGTTTTCAAAACCATTCAAATCTCCACAGCAGTTAAGTTCATGAAAAATTCTAGTTTTAAAATATCTACGAAAATGTGGAGGGGTGTGATTCGATTTCATTGCTCTAACCTGAGAAGAAACATGACTTGTCACTCAATATACACGAATTATTTTACAAGTATCAATAGCATGCAAAGTGGAAACACAATGCAATTATTTTCAGTTTATAAAAGTTCGTATCCATCAGGCAATTATTCAGATTCACTTTATAAGAGTCGCTATGTCATATTTATAGTTTCCGTTCTGGTATTTTCAATTAAATTTCCCCAACGCATTCAGAGACTAAAGACATTCAGAGACTTCAGACCATAACCACATCTGCACTTTTAGAATAAAATGTGTACTACGATCATAGCAAATCCAGCCACAATTCATTTACAACAAACCACAGGCCCACAGCCAAATGAGCAGCAAATGAACGTACACGAGCAAGCTGTGTAAGCTGCGGATGGACTGAGGTGGGTTCGTGCATCTAACACTCCGTAAACATCGACAAAAGTTTCGCTGCACCAACACGCGTCGCGCGAGCACGCAACAGACAATTCTTTTGATATACTGTCACGCTTCGCATGACTGTTGCCAGTTACTCACAATCCTCCTGAGCTGAAGATGTACAAACAACACGTAGAATATTTCTGTTTGCAATCCCCAACCGTTTTCCAATTATCACTGAATCGCATACACACCGTAGGACATAAATTTTTGTGAATATATCACCTTGTTCTTCGAGAAATACACAGTTGTACACACTTTTATTTTGTTGTAACAATAGAATGCACTTATTCATTTTTTGTGAGATGCCTTTCCAGATCTCTATAAACGTCACGTAAAACTTTGAGATATATTGATGCACGATGAACATATTTTAAAATACGATGTTGACAGTAGTGTGCCAGCACAGCATTAACTCGATACGATCGCACATTAGGATCTGCTGCGGTCTAGAGCAAGGGGGACGGCGGAGGGCGAGCAATTTGCCATCAGTCACGCGCTGCAGCGTCCACGGGCAACTGCCCGTCGGCTGCGTCGTCGGTCACGACCGGACACGCCACGCCGGCCCCGCAAGGGCACCCACGAAACCAAAGCCGCTTCAAACGCATCACGTACACCACCGCCCGCGGCGCAACGGCCTGTCACCAAAGCCGCCCCCACACACCGAGAACGCTGCTTAGACAAACGCTTCCGCCGCATTAATTCGCGTGTCTGTTTCCTGTTTGTCGCAGCTGACAATGTGGGAAATGTAGCACAGAGGGTAACGTTTCACTGGCTTCTGTTCCATTCACCGGCTGAAAGTATTCTGCTACACCATACGATGGTAAACCAACTCTTCTTTTGACTCGGGAGAGACATGGGAGAGACGAACGCAGAACACTCGAGAAGCGTCACAAGTGTGCTTCGCTAATTTCGGACAATTGTACATACATCGTGGATCTATAACACAACTTTCCATTAGGGACACCTGCAAATCGTCAAACAGCGCGTGAGTGCACCTGTTGACAGCAGCCACTCACCCGTATGATCGCCGTGAAGCCCTGGCCTGCAGGTGTCTGCTTCTTGGGCGTCGCGTCCGCCGCCGGCGGGGTGCAGTCGTCAGGTGTCGTCGGCGGCGTTTTCGTCGGTGTTTTCGTCGGCGTCTTCGACGGCGACTTGGACGGCGACTTGGACGGCGTCTTCGTCAGCGGTTTCGTCGGCGTCTTGTCGTCCGTCGCGGTGTCGTCGGCGTCCGGCTTCGCGACGCCGTTGGCGCTCACAACGCCTCCGCCTCCGCTACTCATCGCGAAATCACACTCGATGCCCGGTTGTCGTTCACATCGAAACCACACACCACAGCGCACCACCTCACGTCACGTCACGTCACGTCACCACTCGCCCACCGCTGCACACGTACTACGAACGCACCTCGTGCGCGCCGCCGGTCGCCCCGCTCGCGCACTCCGTCCGCACCGCGCAGACGTAAACAAATAAAAACAAGATGGAAGCAGCGCGCGCACGAGCCGTTACCGCCACCGCGAGCCTCGGGCACTGTCTGCGCACGCGCCGAAGCGCCGCCGCCGCCGCCACCGTCGCCGCCGCCCTCAGCCGCTGCCGCTCGCACGCGCCCGACACCAGCGCCCCCACCCGGCTGAGCGGCCGAAGCGCGAACTACGCAGCCGGCGCCGCCGCCACCGCCCCCACCGCGAGCGGCCCGGAAGCAAAGCCAGCTGTTCACAGGAGCTACCTGACGCGCCACGTCGATTATTTATTACGCTATGCAATGGTCTCGTTGCAACGTGTACGATTGACGTTTTAAGGCATAATGGCATTGTCACGCCTCACAATACGATTGTTACTGGACACATGTGATTAACAACAAGTGCCTTATCCTTAATCTTTATTTGGTCAAACGGAGTAAAAAAAGTGGGAGCATTCCCCTTGGAATCTTTGAACAATATCTCATTTAATTAATAACTCAACTGATATCATGATGGAAATACCAGCAGAGAAATGTTTTCATACAAATACAAATTCATGGAAAACACGAAATTAACATATAAGCATATTCAATTTTACCAGTTTTTGGAAATAGTATAATTTATCTTGATGCAAATGCATTGGACATTACTCTCCATATCGACAGAGTGGCCCGAGGCAATAAGTTGCCACCGTAGCGTCACTGAGGTTGGGATCGAGGGTGGCAGGGTTTCGACACTATTATAGCTAGATTGCTACATCAATTTAGCTTCAGGGGAATTCTGATGGACGGCTGCTCTGGTCAGTAATTTTTCGTGATTTCTTCGATCAATACCTCGTGAAAACCGCAGTATTACCCTAAGAAACGGGTCATGGATCGCGTGCGTTCTTTCTTTCCCCGTCCTTGCCCCTTCCTCTTCCCTTAAACACACACACTCACACAGAATTGAAATGAAATGAATTGAATTGAATTAATGGCTTATTTTTACGTGGCGAGACTCAGGCCATGAGGCCTGCTCTTTCGTCTGATCACGCAAATTTCGCTACACTTCTTTCACCAACTAGCAGAGAAAGGAGGTATTTCTTGGGCGAGACACACACACACACACACACGTACATGCACTACATTACCACACATGCCCGGAAAACAGTTCGGAGAGCTTGTCCCGGCTACGGCGCTGCCCGCTGGGAGAAATTCCTGGAAAAGGGAAACACCAGCAAGTGGGGTGTGTAGGTAGTTACTGGATCTTAAGTTACAGCTGGGGACGGACACCGCAATCTCCCGAGACATTATTCACGCTCGTTCTATTGACCCTCATTTTGCTGTATGCTAGAGGAGTGAGTATTTTGTTATTTCGACAACCGGACTATTGTATCAAATGTGTAGCTCGTTTTTTGATTCATAGTTTCTAGTGCAGGGAAGCTAACATTTTTGGTTATCACATGTTGTCAACCTTTGTTGCTATCCCTTATACAGAAATCAACTAATTTTAGTAAATGTGTGGGGGTAGGTTTTCCGGGACTCAACAAAACGTTCGCGTATAATTCGTGCACTACACTCACGAGATTCCTGACTATAGCAGTTGCCGCGCCCGGAAACAAAAAAAATCAATCAATCAAACGAACTTCCGCTCTGGTTCCGATCAAACGAACACACTGCTCTGGTGTTCCAGCATGATTCCAGTGTACTAAACACAACAGAACAATCGGAGACTTCCTTGACTTTCATACACTCATAGCAATTCTATATACCGTCATCACGGGCTACTTGGACCCTCAGGGTCCTTGGGACCCTACTAGCTGAATCCACGCAAAAGAAATTTTTTCAGCGATTGAAAATACTTATACATTGCATTGACCCGTTAGATTGCAGTTGCTTCCGTGCTATGCCAACACAGTGCGGCATTAAACGCGTTTATCATAATTCGTTGGTACATCTGTAAGTTACAATACTATGAGTATATTAAGAACTTGGGTTTGAAATTGGCGGAATCTGAGTCCTACAAACATTTGTCTCTACACTGGATTTCAAGATATTTGATCAAGGGATAAGCTATGATTTCTTCGTTATTAGTAGAATTCATTTCCTTTTTTTTCCTAATTGTGAGTACACAGTCTTAAAAAACAGGCTACTTGGACCCATGTTTACAGATGGGTCAAGAAGCCCGAAAGTTCCTTTTTATCCTGTTAATACGTTAAACAAATCCGAAAGAATTGAACTAGTGTTGTTACAGAATGGCACAGACTTTCCCGTATTAGTTTTCTATTTCCTTTAGTCTGGACTAGCTATTCTGGCATGCCAAATAATCTTGCCACCTGCCATCCATCGCCGACCAAAGTACTTTTTTTTTTTTTAATATTTCGATTTTCTCAATGTAGAAGGTTTATTATTTTAAGAATATTAAAGATAAGTAAAACCTCGTTATAAATAATTATTTTCATTGTAAAATTTGGAGCCTTCTTTTTTAAGAAAGAGGGATTTAAGCACTACTGTAAATTCGAAATTTAAAGCTCTTTTTCCCAAAAAAATTTGAATTTTCAAAAACCTTCATTTGAAGTCAATTGAAGCACTTAAACTCACAAATGCAATAGAGTTTACAAATTGCTGAAAATGTGCATATCAATGGATTGAGAGATCTTTCAAAAAATTTCATTTGTGTAATTTTTGAAAAAACAAAAAAATACACCGAAATGAACTTTACATGACATTAAACAAAGCAATTAGTACTATCCGTTCGAAAAGTTTGAAGAAAAAATGATGAGCAGTTTTGAGAAAATGGCATTTGAGCGTTTCTGAAATAGCGAACTTTTGAGCTAGTTTTGACACAAAAACGGTTGAGTTTTCGAGAAGCTCTATGTGACATTATTTAAGCAGATGTACTCGTAAATGTACTAATGTGAAGAAATTGCTACTAATGTAAATATTAACATCGTTAGAGGCAAGTCAAAATTACGTTAATAAAACAAAAGAATATAGCATTTTACGCCATCTTACAGAGTGCATCCCTACCAAAACTTTAAAGAAACAAATTGTAGCTGTTTTTGAGAAAATCTTGTTTTTATATTGTTTTTAAAAAAAATTACAAAAATTGCACGCAATCTGCTACTAAAATTTTGAAAACATGTACATGTCGTTAATGGAATAATTAATAATGAAGAACAAATTTCATTTGAAGGAAAAATTACTATCTTCAGTTTTGTAGCTGTATGAACTTGCCGGAAAAAATGAAAGTTTTGTAATTATCGAACATTCAGAGTAATAAGTGAAAATCTGACCTATGCCACCTTTATGACTCAACTTTTGTCTGTTCTTGCAAGAAAATTAAATAAACAATTTGGAGCTGTTTTTGAGCAAATTTTGAAAATGTCCGCAGGGCTTCATGTAAAGTACCCCAAAAATATTTTTTTCAAACTCGCAGAGCTTCGTCTCAGGCAACATCAAGAGGGATTTATTCAGTTTGGAAACAATCTTACCCTAGTTTAGACGCTAGTGTTGTTCACATACACCAGACAGACAAACGGACGGACGGACGTTTTACCTTCAATCGATATTTTGGTATCAAAGACCCACAAAATACGGATTCTGGCTACACCACGTGTGAGAGGATTTTGTCTTCATTTAGCAACTGGATTTATCCACTTTTGCGTTACCAGGGCCCGGCAATAAATTTTTCTGCCGAATATCCGCGCAGCAGTACTTAACTTTCCCTGTACTACGAAGTATATTATTCCATTTATACGTATTAAAAGTAAAAATTGGGTCCTAGTAGCCCATGTTTACGGTAATTTATGTATCACGGAGTACAAAGACGGAAGATACCAATAGGAAAAGAAACAAAAGAAAAGAGTATAATGAAGGAAGGGTATGAAGCCTGTTCGTAAATGGTGTCATAATTTAATTAATATAATTAATGTCAACATCACCTCATTAATATTCCTTCAGTTCTCTTTGTAAATGTACGTAGTTTCTAGAGCTCTTTATAAATACCATAAGTATTATTCATCTCTGATGCTATTTGAATCATTGACAATAAAGAAATGAAAAACTGAGGAAAAATTCTCTGCCCTTTGAAGGTACAAGAGTAATAAAGTTTTGGGAAATCAAACTTGAGGAAAACGTAAACGATAACTATAATGATCAACGGGATGACCAAATTGCCGTACCTAAAGTCGTTCAGCCCGGGAAAGTTACCAGGAATTTACCGGAAAATAAACCAGTTTAGTATCCATTACATACTTCAAAAATGATAGAGCTCATTTAGTAGCCTTCGCAAAGTTCTCTGCAATTGAATTCCATTTACCAGAGTTCTCAAAATATTGTTCTATTGTTTCCTTCAGTAAATAAATATCTCTTCACTGGATATCAGTTTCCACTCCCCACTTCCCCACTCCTCCAATTACCATCTCAAAACAATTCAACTTCTATAAAGTGTAATTTAACTAGGGTGCCCACCCCCTGATGATGTCTCAACGCCGGTGCCCAGATCACTGGTAAGGCATACGCCCACTAAATAAATTCAGCGCATGCATCCTGGTGTCTGGAAACGACCATCACACCTTACGTGTGATGGCAACCCCCTTCTATGATAGTGTGACTCACAGCGGCGCATTACACGAATAATTGCGACTGTGTGTATTTTAGAATTTAGTGTATTACAGTACTAAAATTACAGTAATCTGAATATATAATGTAATTCGATGACTACAAACTCCGCCGTTACTGCTTCGTGAAATTTTGGAATTTTTAAATATAAATGGAGGCCCCTAAGGCGAAAGCGAAGTCGTAAAGACGGCACCACACATGCGGCATTCGGCGAGTATCGAGCTAGCCTTCACCGAGAAATTGTGGTGCTCGGTGAATATTCGCTTCCTTTATGTGTACCCATAAGATTATTGCGCTACGGGTAGGGAGAGCACTGAAAGTTTGGACCACGACAAAGAGAAAGCAATTCTTCCCTACTACTCGGAGACCACGAGTAGTCGCTCGGTACTCGTAGAGTTTTGCGTGTCGTGGGAAGTGTGGTACAATTGATGATATCTTCATTTGTTAGAGCTAGCGATAAGTTTTATGTAGCCCTGGATTGAAG